TCACCTTACAGGGTCCTGCAATCTCCCTGCAGCTCCCCTGCTCTTAAAGCAGGGGAGTCTACAAAACAAATCCAGCTAGCTCTGGGAAGGGTTTGCTTAATCCATACTTAGTGAGGGGGGGTCCTCGGCACCTTCTGTGAAAGAGTATGTAGTATCTAAATTCCTGTGGCTCCTGCTCAGTTTTAATATTTATCATTAAGAATAAAAAATGGTGCCTAAATTCCACCTTGAAGTTTCAAAGTGTTTTATAAGCATTAATACCTGAACACATCATCTTTCTCTGGTGCTCATCTGGCATTGCATAAAAAAAATTGCAACCAGACTGGATTATAATTTTAAATACAACAAAAGGAACTTAAACCAGGAAGAATGGAGCAAGCAAAAGATGGGGAAAACTGAATTGCTGCAAAATGCAGTATGGGCAAAGTTCTTACCAGCTTTCTGCACAGCAGTGCTGTGACATAAGAAGTGACATAAAACAGTAGATTTGCCCCTTGCAATATTTGCTCCACAGACCTCAGAAACAATCAATTCTAGAGTTTTGCACTGGTGAGTGAAGATCTGGGCCCATCCAAAGCATGTGCCAGAACTGCCTGCTGTCCTCTAGAACAGCAGAACACAAGACCAAATGGAGGGTCTGCAACTGTTTATTGCTGGTGAATTCAACAATGAATTTATACTCATCTATCAAAGAACATGCAAGTAGAAGCAAATATTATGGTCATGTTCATTTGTTTCTGATTACAACATGTATGTAAATGTATATGCAAATTAAGTGCAAGCATCAGGCTCATGGCAAAGTGCCAAACTATTCTTTAGCGTTAAGAAGATTGGGGTGGCTGGCAGGGAGATACAGTGACTACAAGCGAGGCTGGGCAGTGCCTTCAGATACAGCCAAGGCTGGGCTCCTCCGAAGGGGCAGGAAGAGGATAAATCCTGAGTAACTTGTCACTTTAAACGAAGCTGAGGGGCTATAGAAAAATCTGTTCCCGATGCAGTTAGAAGTGTGATAATTACAGAGCAATGGGCTCCTCTGTCATTCAGCAGGCAGCATCCCCAGGAAATCTTGCTCTGTAATCAAGGGAAGAGCTGCAATCAAGCCCGTATTCAGCCTTCGTTTAGAAACAGCCCCTGCAGGCAACACAAAGGCTTCAGCATGGTGCTTTGTGAAGTTGGTGATCAACGTCTTGGTTCTGCAACTACAAGCAGAGTTAATGCATTTCTAAGCACATCTTCTGTTCACCTTTCCTCAGAAAGTCCAGAAGGAGTCTTGGAAGAAGGGTGAGGGTTTAGGCTAAAATACGCTTGTACAAACAGTGTTGCATTCACACTGTCCAGGTTTGTGAGCTCACTCTCAAAACAGCCGTCTCAGAGAAAGAAAATTTCTTGCAGACTGACAGGGTCCTGAATGAACAGATATGAATAACCTCATTTGGCTTCTACAGCACCTCAGCTTGCAAAATTTGCATGGAGAAGGGTTTCCTTTTTTTTTTTTCTCCAGAAAGATGAATGTATCTGTGATGATCAAATTCTACAGGAACCTCATTCTCTTGGCAGCATCCTGATTCCACAGAGACTGGTGAGGTTTATAAGAGGGGAAGATGTCTCTGAGTTCAGCTTTCATGTCTAATGCCCCCTTTGCCCAGAAACATACAAACTAGTAACTACTCAAATCAGCCATCCTTTGTACCCTACCGAGCTGTCAGATTCAGTGAACCAGTTTACTCCAACTGCAATTAAAATAGTCTCACATTTTATTCAAAACAGTCAAACTTCCCAAAGTGCACATACTTCCACTCCCACTGTATAAACTGAGACACAGAAACTGTACCTGCTCAGATACCATCTGGGCATGTGACTGCCATGGTGTACACAATCCTACTAACTCTGGGTGCACATGAAGTGCCAAAATTTTTTTTGCACACTGGGAGCGCGTTCTGGACAGCATTCACAGTTTCATCCCAGTATGGAATGGTTGTTCTCTGTTGATAACCATCATAACCGGAACTGCACTTGGAGTTACAGCAGCCTATAATACTGTAAATGGAGCTTCATTCCTCATAGTACAGGAACAGCAGGTTCTGCTCTCTATTTACTTCTTCTATCTCTGGCCACAAAATAAATGAGTTTGCTATGGTTTTACCAACTGCAGACATAGGTATCAGTCAATAGCCAAGTAATGGCCTGGACACTGTCAAGAGAACTCATTATTAAAAAGGTACACATTACATTTAGCTGTTCAAACAGAACTGGTTATTGATCGGACCCATCAGTTCCCAGTAAAAGAGCCAACTCTGATGATGAAATGAAAATATGCACATAGACTACAGATTAGTAAATACTGTAATGGAGTGAAAGCTCCCACCCCAAAAAGGCAGTTGTTGATATCCAGCTGAGAGACCAATCTTTTTCAAAAGTGAGACTGGGAATAAAATAACCATGTTACTTCTGCATATATCCAGAGGCATGATAAAGATACAAAAGAGAACAGTTCTGACAACAAACATCTCGGTATCTTGGGGGAAAAAAGCAAACAAAGGAAATACAAGTTGTTTAACAGCCAATCAAGCCACAAAAAGGAAGAGCCTGTAACCAGTTCTGCCATTCCTGCCACATCCTACTGTTTATCAGTGGAGATTCTGCCACACTTGCAGAATTGAAAGACAACATCTTGCGCTTTTCAAAATCAGACAAAAAGGTAGCTATACTTAATTTGGTTCCTGTTTTTTTTTCTTGCCACTTTTCTTTGTCTGCTTGTTTCCACTTACTAAACAGCCTTTTCTTTTGGTTTTCCCATTCATCTGCACAGACACTGTTACCTTTTTTTCAATGACAGTATTTAACACAGAGAAATCACCACTGCTACAGCATAAAGGAGGCAAAAAACAAGGCTGATTATAAAATTCTAACATAAACCAAATATACACCATTTAGTAAAATATGAGAAAACAAGAAGAACCAAACAAGGTAATGACTGTGGAAATCTCTACATTTGATCCACTGGAAAAGTTCTTTGCACAGCATCTTCTCCGAGAGTGAAAAGACCCCAGCTAACAGTGAGTTAAAAATGTTTGCTTAAGAAGGCACATTGTGACAAACTTCTTTGCTCACCCTTAACAGCAGGTTGGGCTGGAAACTGATGAATCACTATAGGAAACAAACAGCAATGGTGACTCATGGCTTCAAATGGTAACAATAGCATTACTTTATCCATGGTGTCTCCAACAAAAATATCCCTGGATTCATTAGAAGATGTATTTCAGATTGTTCCACCCACCCAGGAAATGCACAAAGTCCACCCCCTGAGCCCTGGTTGGAGTTCTTACAATTGCCCCATAGGTACATGGAATTCCTGCTCACTTACAGTACTTTCTCAAGTGGTTCACTGAAAACCATATACTGTTGATGTCTTGAGCAGCTCCCCGAGGAGTCTGGATCCATTAGCCCAGCAGCAGACAGAGCCTTACATCTGTATGTTTCAGGGTCCACATGCCTGTGTGGCTCTTGCAATCTTCTGTCACCACAGCATTTAGACCTGAGGTGTGTTTGCTCCATAAGCATAGGAGGATCAGGCTGGTGGCCCAGCTCATGAACTGCCTGGTCACACCCAGGATTCTGTCCTGCCCCACGTAATTCATGGCTCAATAGTTCTGGCTCATTAATGGTTTGGACTAATCAAGTCGGAGCAAATAGCCAGGAAGAATTCTGTGTTCAACACATCACAGGCTCACACCTCCTGTCTAAGGCTAATGTACTGAATTATTTGAACATAAAGCCAAATTTTCTGTTATTATTAAAATCACCCTAAAATTATTGCACATATGGATGCTATGTTTATTTTCCAAACCTTCCCTTCCTATAAAAACATGTTTGCTTCTCCATCTAAATGCAGACTGTAAATGTGGAGCTGCAGGGCTTTTTACTTAGATAGCAACAGTATAAGGACTGTTTTCATCGCATCTCACATTGTACAGGTTAAGCTCTGGTTAATCTAGTTTCATCGCCAAAAGAAGTGGACAAATAGTAACCATGAAAATATATTATTGCAAATATTTCCATTTTGACAAATTTTGAGGTTGGGTTTTTTTTTTTTTTTCCTTGAGATTGGACACTTCTTGTCCAGGTTTCATCTTTGGTTCAAGCTCAAACTGTGGTGTTTAAAGCCAAATGTCATAAATAATGCTGTGATGAGATTCTCAAATTCACACAGGAATTTTCAGTTGACTTAAGTCTCCTGCACATACAAAATCAATTACCATCACAATTGCTAAAGACCGAAGGAAAAATCTGAAATACACTTCATCATGCAGTTTGCATGATTTAAAACTCTCAAATTCAAAAAGAGAGCACCAAACAATGAGGAAACATTCAAATCCCTCTTCCCTTTGCAACACTGAGACCAATTTAAAAAGCAATTTAAGTAATTTAATCAAGGATGCTAAAAAAATCAAGGTGCCATTCAGTGATTAGTATGCAAGCAATTGAAGGGAAGCATGGGGCTTCCACAGGGTAGCAACTGCTAATATCAAATAAGTATACAATGTCCTGTCAATCAGTTATGTTAGTGATTATATATATATAGATATACACACACATATATATACACATACATATGGCTCCTGTTTGCTGACACTTCACTCAGTTTTCAGGCACTACTGAAAAAAGCCAGCCATTTATTTTACCAACACTAACCTAAGGTACTTCTTAGTTTTATTTACCAATTTATGTTCTCTACCCTTATTAATAAGTTGCTGATGATGATGATGAAAATCTCGCCATGTTACAAGTGCAGCATTCTTTCAGAAAGACACTTTGTTGCAGCTGCTCATACTCTTTATCTATTCCCATTTAATGACTTCTATTTGGAAAAAGAATGGTGGAACTTGAATTCCTTTGATAACCATCAAAGGAACAAGAACTCTGTCATAGCCCTGCCAAACAACAAATTAACTCTCTGGATTGTGTAAAGGTCAATGAGAAGCAGGGAAGTATTCTCTTACCTTCAGAACACAGCTTGCCAGCATATCCAGTGGCTGAGCAGTCACAGTGTGGCTCGCCATCCAGAAGGAAGCAAGTGCCACCATTTTCACAGGGGTTTTCTGAGCAAAGTCCTTCCATTTCCAGTCGAACCCCTTGACTGCCCAGGAGCTGCGGCTCAGAATTGCCATATTTAAGATCCAGGATAAATCCTTGAAACGGAGGCTCACTCAGAACACCATCAAGAGTCAAGGCAGCAGGACGAATGTCCAGCGGGACGCCACCAATGAAAAGGTCACTGACGATATTCATATACTGGCGCTGCGGACGCACCTCGCCCGGCTTGGCCTCACCGTCCAGCACGAGCACAGTCCGAAGGTGATTGCGGCTGACCATCAGGAAGTGCCAGCTGCTGTCATTCACCTGCTTGTCTGTGGTGACTGTCGTCTCCGCACAGTCCACACTGAACTGCAGCTGGATGCGCCCATCAACCAGGGACACACAGAGGAAGTCACAGACACCACCGTCATCAAAATAGAGAAGCAGCCCAGCAGAGACATTGGTCTTGAACTGGAAGCTGAGTTCGCTCCTTGTGCTGGCATCCCAGCGGAGGTAGCGGGCCCACTGGTTGGGGATGCCCATGAACTCCAAACCCAAACAGAGACCCAGCAAGGAGCCCAGCAGCAAACTCACCTTCAAGGTGAAGTAGACAGAATGCAGAGTGAAGCCCATTGTTTCAAGAATCTGCTCTTCCCTAGGAGAAAAAAAGAAGCCACACTACTAGGAGGAGAACCCCAGCAGTCAACACCAAATGTTAAATCCAAAAGGCAGAGAAGAAGAGCAGAGAGAGTGACAGAGAACAGGAGAGTAAGTAGAAAGTGACCAAGAGGAAGTGTCTCCTCCCAAGGAAAGATCTCAATTATTCTTAGGAACCAGAGGCTTTTATCTCAGAAGTACAGGATACTTGAAGTGACTTCTCCAGATGGTGTACTTCTCTGAAGGGCAAAATAACCTACAGTGATTTGTTTCGGTAGAACACAAAGGTGACACTGGTGTTCCAGGAGGAAGGAAAGGGAGAGCCAAAGCCCAAGCCTAAAATTCTTGTTTTCTAGAAGTGATGACAATATTGACGGAGATGGCAGTGAGATAGAAGAGAGAGTAAATTCATAACGCACGTGAACTTCAAGAGGGCAAAAATAAAGTCAATCTTCATGATGCACTGGTGGATACCCAGCCCATAATTCACTGCTTGGCACTCACAGAGCTTGCAGGACCTGTAGGGTCAAGACAAAAAAAGAAAGGGAAAAGTTAATCTTACTACTCACCATATCTGTACTAGGAAGCTTACTAATATCTTGTCCAATAACTTATTTACATTTCTTGATACTCTGGACACTTCTCCATGCTTGCAATTAGCTGTACAGGTCCCAAAATCAGCAAGGACATCTTCGTCCTCAAAACTAAGAGGCCAAAATAGAGAACTCACCAAGTCATCTGCATACATAACAATAATGAGCAATATAAAAATACACCAAATTATTTAACTCCTTTGATGGATGCAATTTCATTGACTTTACTGGGAGATGGTGCTTGGAACTTTCCCAGTAACAATTGCCTCTCCATGAAAATGCTTATGGCAAAGACCAGAGTTCCTTAACAGTTTAAAAGCTGGTAAGGGCAAGAGACACCACTATCCAAACTTCCTATTCCATTGCTTACATTATGCTTCCTAGCACACCAAGGAAGGATTAGAGAATACAGCCTAGCTGTCAGCCTGTCACACAATAGCTGCTTTTACTTTACATGTCTTGCATACTTCAGAGACTCTACCACAGACCTCTGCAACCTGGAAACGTGTTATGCAAATTATTTATGGCAACCTGCAGCTTAGATGATAGCAAACTTGTAGCTTAGATGATAAGAACTGTCAAAGCACTTAACCACTTACCCTGGTCTAGTGGTTTGGCAAAAAGGCCAAATTCACCCCCAGTTAAGAGCAAAGAATTCCACTGCCTTCAATGAGTTACTTCTGTTAACACCAGGATTTAAGTCACTTCTGCATACTTGCATGTGGGTGACTGTATGCCTGGTGTAGGAGGATGTTTTAAGTGACAAATAAAGGCAGCACAAAGCTAGGCTCATTCTTTGAAAATTCTACCCAAGAAGAAAATAAGTCTTCTATTAACACAGGTGCTTGTTCACAAAGATGGGTTGGACACAAGAACAGCTCTGGGAATGGCTAACACTAGCATTGATACAAAGCAGGAAAGGAGATCATGAGAATCAAGGTCTTCAGCCTCACAGAAGCCAGCAGGAACACAGCTTCCACAAACTGGAACACAAATATTGTGGGGCAGTATTTGCTTGGGAAAAGTGTTTTGTGCTGTGAACCATGAGAGTTGCTCACAACAGATGCCTTGCAACCCCATCATCCATCTTGCTCTGAAGGACAAGGCACACAGACACTGCACAAGTGGGCAGTGCTGAAAAGTTTCTGTTTGGTAGGGACAGAGGTTGAGTTGGAGGAGAATCACTAGGAAACAGAGGGGAGAGTTCACACAGTCAGGTGCTCACCTGCCTCAGGGACCTGCAGAAGCCATAAGTCTCCAGAGCTGTCAGTCTGACAAATTTAGCCAGCACAAAAAACAAGTCACTTAGAAAACAAAAGGAATCAATTAAAAGAAAACCTGCAAGTTGGAGAGAAATGTGAGCTTTCAGTGCCCAGTGGAAACCAGGCCTGTTCCCTGCAGCTGCCTGAGTAAAGCATGTTAGCTAAACTGCTATAAACACAAATAAAATCAAGTCAAAACCAGAGGGAAGATAATTCCTTTTAATTGTTAACAGCTTGGCTGAGGAAAATGGAAGGTGGGAAAAGGAGGTGTTAGGAGAGGTGTAAAATGAACAAAGAATTAAACACAGAATCCAATTCCTCATTTCATTTGTCTTCGCAAAAATCATAATTGAGATTAGGATTGTTCACGAAGTTGTGTTGGCTAAGTTCATGGGGGTTCTGGGGGTTCTGAAAAACGGATTGGGAAAAAAAATTATGTGGTTCTTGTCCATTTACCTTTCTTCTCTGTGCTCCCTAGAGGATCCACTAAAATAGCCCATGATTTATGGAGAAGAATAGAGTGAGAGAAAGGTAAGAGAGAAAGTGATGACCCAAGCCTGGAATTACTGATGAGATGGAAATAGGAACATCATAATGTGTGTAAATTAGCCAGTGATGTGCTTCCAGCAGCTCGCAGATTCCTGGACCATTTACTACCACCATGGCAAAATTCACTACTCCATCAGACAGCTCTGTGCTCAGCCTGAGCTGAGAAGGGCGACAAGCCCAGCATGGCAGCAACCATCCACAGAGACCCCAATGCAGCAGGGCTCGTATCCCACCTTTAAATTCTCCTGGGCAGGATAGATTGCACTATCTGCATCAAAAGCAATCCTCAGTCTTATACTCTTCTTTCCCTGTTTTAGAAGACCAGCACTTTGATAAGCAGTGAAAGATGCCGTAAATCACAGCAGCAGGTGTGAACACTACAGATAACCACAGATGAGATACCTATGTCCACACACAGTTCAAACTCCTGTCTGAAAAGCCTATCAATCTCTCCCAATCCCAGGATGCTGAAACTCTGTTTTACACAAACAAATCCCAGCCTCCATGGATCACTTCAATCCTTGGGATATTTCAAAGGTACAGTAATGGGAGTAGGCTACCTCTGGGGTGCAAATGATACCAGTTCATTAGGGCAGGACAAAAGGCATAGTCAACAAGGGAAACCAGACAGAAATGGTTAAACAAGAATAGCAGTCTTGACTGATGGAAGCCGAGGCAATTCTTCTTTCTGTTTTGATTGAGAGAAGCCAAGGTAATCCCTTTCTAGCTGTTTTGAAAGAAGACAGTGCCAGCTCTGTCTCAGAAGAGGAAAACAATGCAAAAAACTTGAAATATAGGTGTCATTGCTGGTGCTTCATTGCCCTTTAGACACTGCAGCTCAGATTTTGGGAAGGCTGCCCACACCCAGCCACTAGCTGGCTAGGGCCATCTGTGACTCCCCCAGAGCTCTGTCAGTGCATGTCAGTCCTGACTCACGGTGCTTCCCATTACTCCAGTTTCAGGTCTCACACAGTTAAGTCTGTGAGAGCAAATCCTACCACAGCAGCAGGGTCTTCAAGAAGAGCCCAGAAGACCCAGTACCCTTTATAGCAGGAGGCAGTATCTGAATTCCAACCTTGAGAGAGTAAATCCTGACACACCAATTCTGTGTCTCACCCATTCCCACAGTGATCAAGACACGCTGAGAATGAATAATTTTCTGCTCTTACCATTTTATTTTTAGCATAAATACTACCCTAGCAGCCTCATACAGCATACTGCTACCATAGCAATACATTACAGCTTGGGACAAAAGCTAAAGAATCCCGGAATATTGTCCTACATATTCTGTATCTCTGAGAAATTTCATTGTCATGGCATGACCACATTTTGCATAAAAAGGGACTTCATGATGGACAGCAGCAAGCAAGTTCTCTCCACTGCACTTCCAACAGCTTGTACCGCCTCCCTGGCCCACCTGAGAGCTGCAACAGCGAGGAACGTGCACACTGAGCAGACAGCTCAGCATCTCACACACGCCAAGCCCAGCGCAGGAAACAGCCCCACCTGCACTACTGAAACACTGTCGCACTCACAGGGCGGACAGAGCTGCACAAGTTCCCCGGCCAGGGAGGGGAGGCAGCCCCACCGCAGCCCCAAAGGAAGGCGAGTGCCGCCTAACCAGCACACCTTCCCAAACTCGACAGCAGTGTGTTAATGCCAGGTCACAGCCATCTGCTCAGCAGCCCACGGAGGGGGTCTAGCCCTTGCTTTGAAGTGGCTCTCAACCACTTATCAGCTGTATTCAGAGAGTGAGTGACATTATCTAATTGCCAACTAATTTCCATAATTACTGACTGGCACACTCTGTATGCTGGGTTAATATCTTTGCAAATGTCTTGAAACGCACCTGCTTAGGAAAGGGGGTGAGAAGCTGTTGCTCTGCAGCTTATTTACCCAATTGTACAGAAAGGTTGCAGGGTTTGTCACTCCCTGTCCTCCCTCCTCCACTACCTTCCTCTCCGGCTGCTAATTGCCTGGGGATGGACTTACTTGTATTTGAAAGTGTAATTTTCAGCAGAAAAAAGAACAGAGATTAATTCAAAGACAGGCTGGCTTCCCTTGCAAACCCCTGCCTCAGCAGCCCAGTGCAAGCCTGTGTAAGTCCTGTTATTCCACTTCAGGATGCTGGACAAAATCCCACTGACACACTGATGGGAAAAGTTTACAGTCCACCAGACTGAGATCCTCTTCCACAACCAGAACTATTCATTATGCCACAGTTTGTCCAGAAGGAAAAATATACATTGGTCATCTAAGATCCATGTATTTAACACCCCAGGTGAACTCACTTTTGTCCTTACCTTCACTCTAAAACAAGCAAAATCCAATTGTTTTCTTTATTCCCCAAGCCCTAATGAAGCAGCGGAGTTTCAGGAAGGAGTAAAAAGGATCCTAATTTGGCTCTGCATCCACGTGTCTTCCCTCAATTGGCACAAAGCACAGCAATGAAATCATTACAGCTCTATGACATATGCTGCTCAAAATGATACCGTAAACTTTACCCTCAATAACTGATATTAAAAGTCCAGCTTACTAGCAGAGAGAAATGGGGAATTCATAGTATTTATTC